CCCCCCGCAGCCCCGCCAGTACCCGCCGTGGGCCCGTAGCCCCCTGAAGCGGCCGCCGCCGGCCCACCTGCGATCATCAACCACACAAAACACGTGTCACCGACCACCGACGTCTTCTTAATGCAGTTTTCTCGGGATACGTTCACTCTGCTGACACACACTATCCTCTTGCAGGACACAGGACACTCGAAAAAGGGTTGTTTCTCAACAGAGGTTAAACTCGCGAATCCACAAGTGAAACATATACAAATTTCATGTCGATCTTCGATGGAGAATTTCGAAACGTTCCGCCAGTCTGCTGTTTCTCAGACTGGTTGTTGATTAATTTTTGTTAATTACTTGCATTGAAGACTATTAAATTCAGTCGAGGTACTGTGATACTCGATGTTCTAAGATCACGAAGCTAGGGGAGTTAGCTCTTACAAAGTGCTCTATGGTTGCGGTTAATTTCGAACTGAATTATTTTATGAACATCGATCGTTAGGGCCGTGTCAAATTCGAAACTTTGCGTATCGTTTACAAAGAGAGTCTCACCGACTCGGTAATTCGAAAGTCTCCGGCAATAGGGTAGCAAAGCGAACGTACCCGAACTTGGTCAACCACTTCAGTGCCAAGCATGCACCGATAAGCGGTGTTTAATGGGATCATGAGATTTCAAAGAAAATGCTCAAAATACCACAGGCAGGATCACCAATACTGCCGATGACCAATAATAATCGCTGTAAAAAAGATGCGAACTTTTAAGCAACAGACTCCAAAAGCGTTTTCGATCGCTAACGGTGAGAACTTACCTCTATGATCTCTTCCCCTCTGAAAATATGAAAATCGTACATAATGGAATGACAATAATCTTTCTTTCTTTCTTTTTTTCCGTTTCTTTCATCCCCTAGGATAATGAAGGCAGAGTCAACGAACAACTAAAGCTTGCTCGCTCGTTGCAGTCTTGGCACTTGGGTTAATATTGCTTATGAAATGTTCTATGTGCTTTCCGCGCACCGACTTCGTTACATTAGTGTATTGCTATTTTTTTTTCGTAACGCGATGATGATGTTTACGCTTGATTCTCCGTCACGAGAATCAAGCACAAACTTGTACGAGATAAGATTACGAGGTCGAATGTTTCGGAAGTGTCCATTAAATCGATCCGAATCCGCGTAGCGTAGTAATTACATTTTTACTTGGATGCGTAATGATCGAGCTACATTTCACGGAAATGATGAGTCGACAGATGATTACGGTTATAAAAGGGAGTTACTCGCGAATGTTGTATTGAAACGTAATTTTGCAACAACGGTGTACACGCGATACTTGAGGAAAAAATACATGTGTATTATATATGTATACATATATATCTATACTAATGAGTCTGAACCGTTTAATTTAGATGCTCATTCGGTGTTTATAATGTCCTACTGTATTCTCTTTCCATAATATAACCTCCAGGGGGCATCGAAATAAAGATAATTAATCTTCCGTCATTAGGCATTTGTTTTCTCGTGTTCTTATCATTCTCTTTCTTCTCCTAACATCTCCAAGGAGGACGGAGGGGGAGAGGACAGGATCGAAAGTTATTTGTTAATCTTTACAACTATAACCTTAACGTGTTGTCCTTAAATAAACCAACGAAAGAAAAAAATAGTAACGCGCACGCACAGCGCGAAATAAAGTGATCCGAAGTTTTGAAAACGTGACGAATTATCATCTTCGATCGAGACAACACTGTACAATCATCGTAGATTATTTCGCGCGGAAAATGAAGTTGTATGTCCGTCGTTCTCGACGGTTGCGTGTCGCGCGCATCGATTCGTAAATTGCGCTTCGTCGAATGAAGTTTATTTTTAATTGGAATCAAGTTTCAATGGAAAATTCGGTTTCAAGAAAATAGTTGAGTAATAGTTAAATGGCAGCGTTATGGGGGAAAAACTTACCGTAACCGCTGTAACCTTGAGGTGTTCCTGCAGGTTGGACATTGTAACTGCTACCCCATTGGTGATGAGGTGGTGGTGGTATCTGCTGTTGCTGAGGAGGTCCAGGAGGCGCGCCCCAGCCCTGAGAATTGTATTGGGTGGTGTAACCAGCAGCGTAACCACCCGTCTGAGGGCTAGTACCCCAGCTCTGATACTGCTGCATCATGTTTCCAGGCGGTCCCATTGGACCTCCCATCATAGGTCCACCCATCTGCCCATTGGGCCCACCCATGGGTCCCATATTCCCAGCCATTCCCATCGGCGGACCGCCAGGCTGCGGCGGGCCCCATTGTCCCTGATGGCTGTCGTTCATTTTGCTAGAAGAATCACGCGGCTCGGCACGCTTGATCTCAACCTGGAAGCAGAACGAACGAACGAACGTTGTAGGAATTCCGTCATCTCTGCCCGTAGATTCTCGTGACCGTAGAATAGAATTAATCGAGAGGTCACCGATTCTTCGAATAGAATTAAATGTAATCCCATTGTTGCCTTAATCAATTTTCATTACAATGATCGAAGCTTTCGAGAAACTCGCCAAGTCTTACATAAATTCTAAGATATATATAAATATATATATACTCTAATCTTGTTTTTCAAAATCGTTCGAGTGGCGCATCTTACACGAATTTTTCTGGTATTCTCTATTTTTTGTACTTTTGTGCTTTGCCTCTTTTCTTTACGATTTTTAACCGATATACTTACATAATAGTAAACTAAGCGTACATGTTTGTTTAGCGTTAACATAGTATGAAAAAATAGTGTAAAATAAAATAAGTACTATAACTAATATTAATGTATTATTTAAGACTATGTAGAGGTGGTGTAACATTATAATTATATAGTAACAATCGTACTTATTATTATTTTACATTACATTATTCTAGGAATATATGTATATATGTATATATTTATATATAAATATATGCTAGTGTGTAGGTAGCTATACCTGTTTTCCATTCAAGTTGACGAAATGCTCGGCGACACATCGGTCCACGGCATCTTCATCCTCGAAGCTGAGGAAGCCAAATCCTGCCGTCCAAACGTGATAGTATATCAAAAATTGCCCCATATATTTACACAACAAATACACCTTCTCTCTTTTTTGTTCATGTATATGCATATATTATATACCTGTTCTAAATCTTTATAAGAAATTACAAGTTGCTTATACAATTTCGTTTCAATTTGTCCGTTATATCTAATTACTTTTGCTATGTTAATGATAACAATGGCTGGACTTAATTTGGATTATATTTGAGTATATAAAATAATATTACAATTTTAATATCGATTAAACACATGCATCTTCTAGAACTTTTTTTTATGATACTTATCATTACTATCCATCTTATGTGCACATAAAGCTTAATGTACTTAATCTAAAAAATTTATGATGGCTGATTTGAAGAAGCTTTTCGATTAGGTATTTTATTTTCTCCTAATTTCGGAGACCGAAAGAAACGGCGGAAAGTAAAACGAAAGTCACGAGAGATTCACATTGGATTATATTTGTTTCAAGAACGTTTCGTAAATAACGAGTTCAGAAAATATTTTCCGAGTCATGGCATTGAGAGATTAATGTACAAAGCAATCCACACTGTTAAAAAAATAAATAAATATGATGCGTAAAAGAAAATTCATTTGGGCTAATGGAACACACCAACTTCTTGAATGCAGCCACCAAAAATGAATAAATATTTAAAGAAGAAAGAAAGATATAAACGTGTTCTCTCGTATTTACTAAAATGTTTAACCACAAGGACACCAATGTTAAGGCAAAAATTATTCTATACTAAAAAGCCATAGAAATTAATGATACCCTAATTTATTTAGTTATAAATTTTATACTAGATATTTAAGATTAATCCTTTATATAACATATGCCGGTTAATGATAAATATAAGTAATTGATCTTATTATTCAATGGATAAGATAATAGGTGGATAATATTTAATAAAAAATAAGATGTACAACGTATCTTACTAATAGCTTAACTTCAAAACTTATGTTATGTACATTTAACTTATGTACTTAATAACCTATTCTTAATAAAACTTAGCCAAAATCACAGTATGTATAAATACATTTAA